CACATGCATTATAAGTTATATTCTAACATACGGCCATCCTATCGCCAGGTTGCACCTCGTTCATCGCGCGTACCGTCAGCACCGTGGCCTACATCTCGGAAAGCAGATGTTTTCTTTGCATCCCCAATGAAATCCTTGGTGAAGGACGCTGAAGAAGAAAAAAGTAGCGGTAAAACCATTTGTGTTAATGATATTGATAGCGAGCAAAAGGAGGCAACGCTCGAGATTGAATATGAAGCTACATTCATAAACCCAAATAGCGACAGACCGCCACAGAACTCCGCAGCCAACTTATGGTCAACGCGTGACAAGGAGTGTACCGTAGACTGGGACGGCTCTGACAGTACACTTTCTTCCTCAGTAGAAAGCTCGATGAATTCGACTAAGCCTATTGAGCAAGTTTACGGTGGTCTAGGTAGTGTGTCATGTCCGCTAATCAAATTGGGGAGTGACAACTCCTTCGTGGAGTCGGCGTCGTCAAGTACTACTGACATGCCTGAGAGTAGCATAGATGAGGAATCTGGTATTAGCTCTACTATGAGTTTAAAGTCTGTCACTGAGAAATCGTCGGATGTTTTCTCTGACAGCGGGGCTTCTATTAGATGTCTAGACACCACGCGAGTCACCAGTGACCATGGAAAGCACTCGCCTTCCGCTAATTCAGGCACCGGGCTTAGTACCGATAGCGACTTTGACAGTTGCGAAGATCAGGATGTACACCACGAATACACTAATACAGTAGTGGACTTTGTGCTAGAGGATGACATGGAATGCGATGATGGAGGCCTCCGGTTTGCTCCTCCCGTACAATCCAGTACACAATCCCACTTCAGCAAAAAAGCGTTGAGTGAGAGTACCGCACTTTCTTCTGGGTCGAGTTCATTCATTCAGATAGCAGGGGCCGAACGCCCTCGATCCTCTCTGGAACAAACCTCGAGCATGAAGGAGAAATGGGGTACCATGTCCAACGCCGCTTACGGCTCAGACGCGGGTACACCACCAGACTCCTACTTAGCTAAACGGGACGAGTTCAACGAAGAGCACATCCCCGTGTATCCTCGATCCCGGCACATGTCTTGGACCTGTTTTGATGACGCAGTACATGGATCACCCATGTCCCAAACGAGCACGGATTCGATTGGAACGCTGGCAGGCAGCGCCCCGTATGCGCAGAATAACGGGATCAACGAGGTACAGCGACAAATGTCTCACGCTTCGGCATTGAATGCAAGCAAAATCATACAGTTTGGCCCTGCTGGCGGAAGCCGTACCGACCATAGCAAACTCAAACAAACCCATTCCTTCGCTACATTTGGGTCTGAGAGAAAAGACAATGCTTTTACCATGTCGCATGACCGTATCTGGGGATCGGAATCATCCGCTAACAACAGTACAATGGAACTTGTGCGCGGGGAGCAACGAAGTATGAGCACAAAGGTCAGCGATTGGGAGAGCAGCGATATGAGTCATTCGCACTCACAGCAGTCCTTTCACACACAGTATGTGGATGATCGAGAGACCATGCGTGCGCAGGAGAGAGACGCTTCATATGTATACGGCAGAAAATACACTCCGACAGGCGGACCGTCCCACCCGCACGCGCAGAAACGCACCAACCGGCCTCCGATGAAAGTGTTTGAGCGCACAAGTTCTTCCATGAGTGCCAATGGGCATCCTGGTAATAACTACGCCAGATACGAAGACTATCCGGATAGTGGCCCTCCGCACGGTGACTTTAGACGCCACAGCACATTACCAGGATCGCTCTCGGGTAGCTCTGCGCATCAGGTGCGGCGCGATTCACAGCGTCAACACACGCAGCCGCCACAGCAGCACCAGCGGTCCATGTCGTCTGCTTCTGGCTCGTTTGTGCACACAAGCAAGCACATGAGCTCTGGGTCTTCCGACTCGTTGCAGGACTTTTTGGGCTCGTACGGGACTGGCAATGGCAGTGGTAAAACAGGGTTCTCTGATTCGGGAACCTTCTCAGATAGTAGCAGCAACCCCGCTTACCATCCTGGAAATAGCACGCGACAACGCTTCAACAGCGTACAATACGAACGCAGCAACAACCACGGGAATGAGCCTCACCGAGGCGGGGGCTTCTACAACAACCAGCCGAATGAATATGACGTATACAACAGCGCTTACCCACCCCCACAGCCCCACAACATGAATCAGCAACAGGCACGTACATCTCGCAGACAGTTCTCGTTCAACGGCACCAGCGCTTCGTCGCATGTATCACCCAGCGGAGACAGTGGGTGGACGCCTATGCGTGCAGCGCCGCTTAACCAGCAGAAATACCCGGCTGGTAACAAGGCACACAACAAGGGGATGTCTTCGCCCAGGTATGACCGTGGTGTAAGTGTAAACTCCAGCACATCTTTTATGCACCAGAACATGAACAACCACCACAATACCACCAACAACAGTGGTACCCGTGGGGGAATGTACAGTGCTTCGAGCGACTATGCCCCTGGGTATCCATACGGAGCACAAAGTGTAGGTAAGAATGGCCCTCCACCCACGGCCAGGACGGCCCAGAGATCGATGTCTCTGAACAATCAGCGAGCGATACATATTGCGCAAAACGAGGCTGTACCAAAGGGAAGAAATGCTGCAAGTCGACAAGGTGTGTGTATACAAACCTATCGTAGTTCGCTATCATCGATTTAGACTCGTTTTTGCCATCATTTGGAGAGGAAACAAGTGTACCAAGTAATACAGAAATTGTCCAAACCTGCCTTGTAAAGTTTACATTCATTTCAGATAAGTTACTAACTTTGCAATTGCCATTCCTTGTACATATAGTCAGCGAGTTGGGAACCGCCACCCGAATTCAAATGAGTCGCACGCGTGGAGGAAGTATCAACACTCCCACCGCAACCAACGTCGGGGCTTCGTCGAGATTTGGTATGTGTACATACCATTTTATACCATTATTAAATAAGTTGTTCTGTATTCGCTATTAGACCCAAATTTCAAAGGGTAGGGCGTGTGGCCCTGGTTTTGTGTATAGCAATCGTCAATTCTGAAAAGACTGAAGGGCCTGAGATCTTGCAAAGGTATGCAGAGCTGCGCTGCACGGGTTGCTAGGCTGTGGTTGACTGACAATCGCATTTTCACCTTACAGATAACGCCATTGTATGGTGTGACATAGATCAAGGTATTGAGATGGCGTCTTCAGTGTCCTCTCCCTTCGTGAATGGACGGAAAGTGCTGTACTACTTCAGCCGCCGGACTAATCGCAAGACCATAATGTCCTTGATCGAGCCATCCTACCTACTTGGAACACCCCTGGAGAACCCTGAGGTCAACATTGGATTTCTGACATTCCACGACTGTGTGGAGTTGCGCACTCTCAAAACGGGCGAGATTCTGACCCGCAATCAGAGGAACAATCTGAGAAAACGCCTCGCAACTACTGCCAGAACCATCGTGCAGGTGTGTGTGGGTGTATTGCAAGATATATGTACCATGAGATGCGGGCGTACTGACCCTCTCGTAGCCGTGTTTTGAGACAAGCTGTAGTTGATTCATTAACGTTTGTAGCACGACCCTTCAGCCACTACAACTGACTGTTGGTCTTATGGTCCTATTATCTCAGGTTGATGTACCGCGTCTGCTGAACGACTTCACTGATCCCGACTGCTGCCCACGAACTGCATACCACCACTCCAAACTCAATGCCTACCTCGTGAGCCCAGCGGTCATCCAAGTGCTACTGTGCACTCGTGGTATGTGAACACTCAGAATCGCTAGCGATGACCCGAGTTGTCATAGGGGATGTGTGTGTGGTGGGGGGGTGGGGGTGGGGGGTGATCAACTCGATCGTAACTTAAGCGCCAAGACGCTGTACTAGATCTTATCTACATACAGTTCGTAAACACGCCCTAACATGAGACTTGCTTTTCCCCGAAATCGCAGAAAACGAAATTGGAGCGGAGCCTTATCTCGGACACACCATCCAGGTGCAGACACTCTTTGACTTGGCCAAGAATGAATCGGCCACACGCCCATTGGCTGATTTTATCAAGCAGAGCGAGAGAAACAGTACGGCACTCAACATCAACATCAGGGATTTCAAGGGCATGTGCCCCATCCACTACGCCGCTAAGGCGGGATTGGCTGGAACCATCGATGTGCTTATTCGTGAAGGAGCTGATGGTATGTACCGATGTTCTGCTTTGTTGAAGTGAGGGTCTAGTCAGGCTGGTCTGTGTATACGCATTGCGCACCTACTCGCACCGATATAAGGCACTCTTTGCTTGGCTGTCTCTATTACATGTATGTACGTATGTGTACGTATGTATGTCTATATATATATATATATATATATATATATATGAAGCACGTTGTTGGTCTGATTCTCACAATTCACCCTTGCAATCCTTTTTGACTCACAGTAAACGTAGTGGACAAGTCGGAACAATCGCCTCTGCACTACGCCATCTACAACGGCCACAAGGACGTGCAATTCCAGCTTCTGCGTGCGGGTGCAAAGCTAGACACGCGTAATGTGAGCGGAAACACACTCCTACACGTGGCAGCGTACCACAACCAACTAGAGATCGCTGAGGCTATCCTGGACAAGGCCCCCGAGTTGCTGTACCTTCGTAACCACAAGTTCAACTCCACCCCACTGGAGTGTGCGGGCCACAAGACTCTGAGTGAGATGGAGAGCTTGCTGGGACGGCGTATGGCTCGCATGTCGAGTATGGGACTGAGTGGTGGCAGCGGTTCTGATTGGGATGCAAATGGCGAGGGCAACTCGGTTTCCTGGGTGGGCCATTTGAAGGGCGAGAGCGCAGTGCCAGCTAGCCAGAGTGTCCAGGAAAGCACAGACAGGGTTGCACAGGAAAGTTCGGTACTTAGTATGAAGATGCGCGCTCCCGGGGGCGTGTCATCGGTCACCCCCAACCCTGATGAGGTGACGAGAGAAAACAACAATCCAGAACACCAGAGAGTGACGGACGGGAAGAAACGGGTGCGAACCGTTAGCATGCACGAGGACATATTTGCAGCTAACAAGAGTAACAACAAACCCAGCACCATCAACGACAGGGCAACGGAGGGGACTGGCGGGCTTAACATGGATTGCCACTCCGCATTTGGAATGGGTAGCAACGATAGCCTGGCGTGTGTATCTGAGGATGTTGCACTCGAGACGGACGAGGAGAACTATGTGTTGAATCTACTTATGAAGACCTCGCTCAAGGTGTCTGAAGGACTGATGACGTCGACTGCGGGCGAGGAATGAGCTCATGTACTTTTTTATGGAGGGAGTGTCCGTATATACACACAGAAGGGGTGTGGTATAATTAATCATGACAAATTAGGACCACAAATATAATGTACATTCACGATTGCAAAACAAAATAAGTGTGGTGCAGGGCGAAAGATAAGGTTGATGCACGTAGCTGAGTGCGTATTTGGCCACCCAAAAAAAGTGTGGCACGCACTCAGAGCTCTCCACCAGGCTCACCCACACATGTACGCATCTACATATAACTATATATATATATATTATAAATATATAACAACGAATTCTCACATACGACTACATATCTGAAAGAGAACAAGAAGCTTTCTAAAAAGCGGCAGTCAAACAAGATCTGCAAACATGTATATGAACCGTAGTAAGCGCTGGTCGTGCACTGGACTACGGAATATATGAGAAATGTGTAAGTGGATCAGAAATGACATAACACACGGGGAATATAAAAAGAACAATCTGCCGGGTTGAACAATACACTCAGGCGAGGAGAAGATAAAAACGAGCACTATTCCAAATAAATAAAAAGGATATGTATTGTCTCGACTTATAATCATTCTATACTACGTCCTTTTGGTTTTGTAAACGAAGATAAGAACGAATACTATCCTCCCCAAAAAAGATCATGCATTGTATTGTCTCGACTTATAATCATTCTATACTACGTCCTTTTAGTTTAATAAATAGATACGGCAACTGCTGCTAGTTAAAAGCGTCTCCGTCGAAAATTTTGCATGTTGCTATCTCAGTATCAGTATGTAGGTAAATAATTCAATATAGATAGCCACGGTATTCGGCAAGAGTCTTGGGACAGCGATCTAATCAGATAGGTCAGTTCCCTTCGAAGATCAATCACAGCCTGCTATACAAAGACACAGAGAGCTATCGCTACATACATAGGTACTTACCTCTAAATGCTCGCGAAGCACAGAATCAAATAGAAGTTCATACAAAGCTCAAGAGTGCCGAACGACACGATATATTTAACGCATTTAAAAACGCATAAGCTGAGGCAAGAAAGTCCATTGGTTCAACATGAAACTTGTTCTTAAGGCACGTGTGCTCTAAATCTTAATAAGAAGAAGAATAACTTTCGATCAAGGCGTCAAGACAGGTGCTCGCATATAACAGTGATAGTAAACATACACGTAAGCTGCCAAGACATATGTGTCCAAGTATTGACAAGAAGTAATAGGTATCTGAGGCCGATCTCAAATCGTCAAACGCCTCAGACTCAAGAAAAGCCAGTTACCCTGGGTTCTTGACAAGACCAATCCGGATGTATAGTATTTTATATGCATAAATTCATAATTATAGTGAACAATCATTTATGGTATCCTCTATATAGTGATCCATACGCATACACACACACACACACACACACACACACACACACACATATATATAATATATATATATATATATATATATATATATGTCCATATTTATAGTAACCTCTATGTATAGTAACCTCAGTGTATAGCCATTACTATGTATAGGATTTGATACGTATATATGAATATTAATAGTATATAGTGTACGGGCTGTGTCCATGTACTGCATTTTTCGCAAGGTCTTCGCAACAGATCGAGAACATGCCTACACGGGTGGTTCGTCTGACTATGTGTTTTAATGTGATACATAGTACTATATAATTTTTAAACGTGATGTACATGTGCATACATACAAAGCCCACTAAACCTCTTGTTTCTTTACCATAGCGGGATATCAACTCTTCATGTATCTCTTCATGTATTTATCATGTGAATATGCTCTGCGCGTCTGTGCGGTTTGTTTTCAGAAGACTGGTCAGAATGTGTGCAATTTAGAAGGGCAATGAAAAACCTTGAATGTTCCTTGATTGTTGAACGTACCGAACATCCAAAGTTTCAGACTTCCGGTGAACTGGGCCGTGGCCCGTGGGGCGTAGTATAATGAATATTCATTATTTACATATTGTTTTGAAAAAAATCAAAAAATCTAATATCCTAAAGTCCCGTTGACCCATTTTAAGATATTCTAACATTCTAATGCAAGTAAATAAGTACCGAACATCCAGTAGATACCACATGACGGAATTTCGCAATCAGCAAATCAATCGACCAATTCGCAAAAAGCTTTCGATTACTCTCCGAGTCTCCTGTTGCATTCGATTATTTTGATCTAATAGTGGAGCTTACGCGTGAATTTATATACATCCGTGATTAGGTGAAGTAGTAGTCATATATATCTCTTAGAGGGATAGAAGTAGAAGAAGTATAGTTACATACTACCTCGCATACGGCTCGAATTACCGCTGACAATATGAAATGTGTCAACAACACATGCGGGAAAGATTACCTGGAAAACGAGAACAACGAGACAGTCTGCTTGTACCATCCTGGTGAGTGTAGACGCGTGAGTGCTATATCATATTGAAATTATTACGTAAGTTAAAGAGGGGTTATTACGTATATCAAAAATCATCATGCGCAGATGGATAAGATTATATTATTATGGATGAGGTGATTTGTGGTATTTATTGATAACTACTTACAGTTATGAATGCATAGCTGTATAATCCTTGTGCTATCGAAATGGCAATGGGGGGTCCATCTACGAGTATTTGACAATATTTAAATCCATTAACACAGTTTGGTATCCTACGCACACATTTGTCCATGATATCACGAATATTGTAACGTGTGTCGTTTGTCACTCAATGTACGCCATCTTCACAATCAGGAGGTAGACACGTATATCAAAAAGCGGCAGTAACAGCTCGTGCTTAAAGCTGTATATTTGTAACTTATTCAGTCAGCTGTAGAGATTACAAACGTGACTGATGACGTATACCAATGTAGGAGTAAAATATACCTTGTATATAGTTTCATGTTAATGCACATATACAACAAAGTAAACAGATATATATATATATATATATATATAT